GGCCGCTGCTGCCGCCGCCGCTGCTGCCACTGCAGGGGGTGCCCCACTCTTGCCCACGTGCGTGCGCCGATGGTAGAGGAACTTGGTCATGTTGCTGAAGGTCTTGCCACAGCGGCAGCGATGTAGCGGGTTGGCGGTGTGGGCCCGCCGGTGGGCCACCAGCGTGAGCTCCGTGCCAAAGCCGCGGCCACAGTCCACACAGAGGTAGCGGGCTTCCCCGCGGTGCAGCCGCAGGTGCTGCTCCAGGGAGGCAGCTTTCTTGAAGACCTTGGAGCAGGTGGTGCACTCGTGGGTGCCACCCACGTGGGCCCGTCCGTGAGCTAGCAGCCTGTTGGCAGAACTGAAGCTGCGCTGGCACTGGCTGCAGTGGAAGGGGTGGGTCGCTGATGCTGGACCACGAGATGCCCGCCGGTGTCGCCGGCGTGCCCCCGTGGAGGTCCTGTGTTGGGGACAATCCCCACAGCTGTGCGTGTGGCTGGCTGTGGACTTGTCGCCGCCCACGGCCTCGTCGCCAGCATCTGCTGCCGCCTCCTCTTCCTCTGTCTCTTCATCGTCGTCTTCATCCTCCTCATCTTCCTCTTCTTCCTCTAGCCCATTGCGCTCCTCTTTCTCCAAGGAGTCGAAGTGGGTGCCCTGATGCTCCAAGAACTCCTCAGGGGTAGCGCAGAGGGTAGAACATTCAGGACACTCGTAGGGCTCCATCTTGACTTCAGGTGGAGCTGGGGGTGGAGGCGGAGGCACAGTAGGGGGCGTCGGTGGTGGCTCTGGTGGCCCTGTAATGGTGGCAGAGAGGTGCTGAGCCTGGCGATGAGCAATCCACAACTCTGGTGAGGGGAAGAGCTCCTGGCAGTCCCCACACTGGTACTGGATCTGGCTGGCGGACTGCCGGAGGTGGGCATCCTGGTGGGCCAGGAGCTCACCGGGCGAGAGGATGAGCTGGCTGCACTCACAGCACTGGAAGGGCCCATCCTCGATGCCGCCTGGCACTATCTCTGGGCCAGTGTCCTGGGGGTCCAGTGCGTCCTCCTCTGTGGTCGTGGGCACATGCTGCTCCTGGTGCGAGAGGACTTCCTCCAGGGTGTTGTAGAGGTTGCCACACTCTGAGCACATAAACTGGTGGTGCTGGAAGAAGAGGGATGATGCCAGGGCCTCCCCAGGCGTCATCTCAGCCACCTCTGCTGACATCTCCGTCATCTGCCCTAACACAGGTGTTGATGCCTCTGTGGGCCCTGGTGACATCTGCGTTGGCATGTCAGCCACCTCAGTCACCACCTCTGTCATTGTCTCAGGGGGCAGTGCCTGGAGAAAGAAGGCCTGGGCTGATGAGACCGCAGGGACTAAAAAGGAAGGGAGGGCTGTCTAAGGAGTTCCTGTGCCCGCGCCATCAAGCAGCAAGTCTGGTGCCAGGGTTTACACCTCAGTCCTCAGTGAGTCCCCAACTCCGAATGTGATACATGTCCCCTGGCACCCAGGCTTCTGCAGGAGAGACAAATTGAGAAATACCCTCAGTTTGGCCTCCCATGCTGCCTTCCTTCCCCAGAGGGCCAGACATAATCTTTCCATGAGCACAATATGGTTTCGAGTCTCACAGCCTCTGCCTGCAATCTCCTCCCTCTGCCTGAGTAGCGTTTTCTTCCTTTTACACAGAGCTGCAGTAAAGCAGAGGGGCTTGAATCAGCTGCACCACTTAATTCCTTTCTCTGCATTGAGATTAAAAATTGTTCTGGCCATGAAAACTAAAACTAGATAGAATCACTACTTGAAGTTCTCCAGAAATGTTTTCAGATTCTCTTTGATGCTGTTCTGCTAAGAAAGCGCTCTCCTCTTTCTTGCCTAGCAAACGCCCTGTCTCCATCCTCAGGGTGGTGGCCACTCCCTCCCCCTCCTTGGGGTTCCTGTGGTCTCAGGTGCTACCTTCATCACTGCAAATATCATGAGCTTTGGAGTTTCTGAGGTCCTCAGTAGAGGGTCTGATTATCATAAGCCCTGTCACCAACAAAACCACAGACCAGGCACAGAGTTTTCCACATCTGAAATTCCCTCTGTGAGGCCTATCTCCAGTTCCACATGGGTGGGTTCAGCCCAACCCAGGACCTTTCACACAGCAAGGGTACAGCATACCTGCAGCAGCTGACTGCCTCCTCAGAAAATCGAGGAGCTAACATTTAGACTCCAACCCCCACTTTCCCTACTTCAACTCATCTGTTAGTGCCAGAGCGCAGGAATTTTAGTGTGCTCATTGCAGATGTATTCGCAGTGCTCTGAACAATTCTTAGCACACAGGAGGCCCTCAGTAGATACCTAGGCAATGAAGAGTGGTCCCTCCAGGGAACGAGGCCTGAGCGTTTCTCCCTTTCCTGTGTACAATCCACCTCTCTCAGCAGACTCCCATCAGGCCCTGAATTCCCACAATAAAACAGCCCAGCAGAGAGTCCTACTTTCAATCGGTGCCCCATAAATGCTCCTTGAATAAATGATTCATGAAAAGTCCAGGGGCTAAACTTGCCTTAGCTACTTAGTTCTACTTCCTCACTGAGTTTGAACTGCCAGGAAACAGTCAGGATCTTCCCGGCAGTAGTGGGCCCCAGCGTGGCCTGTGTACCCTCTCAGTCCAGAGAATTCCCCCTAGGGCGGGGCCCATGGCCTGGTGGAAGGGCTTACACAAAGTGGGCACACAGTAAATGTCCCTCGAGAAGGTCGTGCGACTCACCTGTAGTGTCTGCTTCCCAATCTTGCACTATGAACGCTTGGGGGCGGGATAGGGACTTTTTATACAGTGGGTAAATAGCTCTTCCAGGAAAGAGCCCACCATGGGCCTGGGAGTTTAACTTTCCCGCTTCAAAGGTCCCTTTCTCCAACCAGCGATCAACTCCTCAGTCTCTCGAGGACGCCCAGCAAGGGGTATGATTATGCAGGGGCAGCGAGCTCAAGCACAAGGGTCCTACACCCCACAGGAGCTCAATCAATGCTCAGGGGCACCCAGGAAGAAGCGCTCTGCACTCCGCGCCGCTCCCTCCCTGGCGCGGGCCCCAAAGCTCTCCGACTTCCGAGGACCCCCAGGTTCCCCCCTCCGTCCTCTCCGCAGCCCAGTGCTCTCTCCCCCGCCCGCCCCGCGGCGCCCTCACCAGTCTCTCTCGTCTTCTGCAGCCCCCGCCGCTCTTGACACGGACCCTCCGCTCCTGGCGTGCGGGACCCCTCACTATCCACGCCTCCCATTGGGCGGCACCCTTACCCGTGATGGCCAATAAGAGCCGGCAGCGTATGGCACGCACCCTTGCGCCTGCGTATTGGCGGTCAGGCGGGCCTCCGGGAGTTTTTCCACGCACGCATCAGTGCCCTGTGGGCGGGGCTCGGAACTCGAAGTGGCGCCTGCGCACTTCTTCCGGCCGACCTTCCCCGCCAAGAGTTCGAAAGTAGAGAAAAGTGGGCATCACTCGATAGCGAGGACTAGCGCGTGGATTGGGCCGCGGGAGAGTTTGACAGAGTTGTTATTTCCTAGCCAAAGATAGCATATCTTTAGAGCCAGACACCACTTGGGATGCTTCCCTTCCCGTGGCCTCAGTTTTACTCCTTTGTGAAATGGGCTCAATTTGAAACAGGGTGGTCCCCAGGAAAAGGGGAGGTTCTAGGCTCCCTGCCCTACCCAAAGGAGGGTGGAGCCGAGCTGCGAGAAGAAACTGAGAGGATACTGAAGAAGAAGGAAGCAGGATGGAGGCCTGGAGGAGATCTGAGGGAGGCATATGGAGCAGAGACATGTGAAGAAACGGCTCTTGTTTCTTGGTCCTGGGCTGGTTGAAACAGATGTGGGTGAGAGACCCGTGGGGGGTGACTATGGCAGCCTTTATCTTGAATTTGATTTTGCTCTTTTCTTCTTGCACTTGTCTGGCCATTTCTGACCTTTTACTGTGGGTCCCCACTAGAAAGTGCTATTAGACTTGTGGCAGGCTTTCAGGCCTTACTTTGGGACAATCCCTTTTGGATGGACTTTGACCCACAAGGGGGTGGGTGACTTTGGGGGTTTGATTTAGAAACTGTATTCTTTGTGGCTCTCCCTTGTGGCACAGTGAGTTAAAGTGCAGCACTACTAAGCTAGCTGCAGCCGCTTTAGCACGAGTTTTATTCCAGGCCAGGGAGGTGACCCACATGGTGCAGCAGACCTCTCCTGTCTCACCCACTGCTCCCCTCAGCAGTGTACTAAGTAAGTCAGTGCACAAAGTAAGTCAGTCAGTCTTATTCTGCTCCCCACTCTGTGTCTGGTGAATCTTCTCACCTCCCTCCATCTTCCATCCCCGCATTTCTGGTCTGCACCCCACTTCTGGGTAATAAATAAGTGTTTAAAAAGAAAAACACTATATTCTTTGTCTTTTTTTGTATTTCACACTGATTGTATTAAAGTTCCTTTCCATTAAAGGTCTTACATGTTTTGTCTTGATGGGGCAGGTGGCAGAACCTATTTAGAATGGGCAGGTTTGGGAGTCGGGGTGCCCCTTTCTCTGCCCTGTAACAAATTCACATCCGTCTAAAAAGCTGTTTAAGGTATTGAATTAAATCAAACATGTAAAAGCCCTCGACACAGGGTCTGCTACATTGTGGGTGCTCACATCAATCTAGCTAATATGGACATAGTCCTTCCCAGTTCCCAGAATTGCTTTCCCTTCCCTCCCTCTCTTTCATTGACTTAATGATATTCATTTATTGGGCGCCTACTGTGTGTCCGGTCCACGACAGGGTTTCAATGGGTGACAATTGTCCTCTGTTTCCTGTTGGGGAAATGGGCCCAGACAGAGGGAGGGCCTCTTCTGAGGTCACTGCTACAGCTTAGCAGAGCTGGTGCTGAGCCAGTGCAGAGCAGGAACCTGGTCTTCTGCCTCCCAGGGGGAGATAAATCCAAGGATGGAAAGCTGTCAGGGAGGAGACCTGTCTAGAGGCACCTGCATGTCCTGACCTTAATCGCTTAAAGTGTGGGGGAGGGGTGGCCACCATGACCGAGGTCCAGAGAAGGGGATCCCCAGACACCACAGGCTAGAAACCAACTCCTTGTGGAAATCCATTCTGTCCAGAGTGAAACTTGTAGGTTCAGGTTAGATCGGGCATGTGGGGGGGGGGGCATCCTCGTCTCTTAAATCAGATTAGGAAGAATTATGGGGGTGACATTTGGAGACTGGTTGTATGTGCAATACATGACTGTAATGGGGAGGATGGTGAGAGATACCATCAGAAACTGCACAATTGGGATGAATGAAGGGCTCTATTGCAAACAGAAAGGAACTATCAAGTCCCAGCTTGTGGTGGGGACTCCTGGTTTTGATAAGGGTAGGGAAATTATAGCTAGGGAGTTTCTTTTGGATGAGAGGAGGGTTCCAGGTGGGATGTAGGTTCCAGGTTGCCATTAAGATTAAGGGGCAATTTAACGGAGGGGCGACCAAGTCCCGATTATCAGGGGCCAGGATGCTCCTTGGAGCCCGTATGGTTGTGATTGTGATTGTGATCCTATGCCATGGGCAGCCGGGGACGGTGGTAACCTGGGCGTCTAGGTCGTGATTAGGAGGGGTTGTACTCTATGAGATGAATAGTTCCAACAGGACGTGACGTAGGGCAACAAAGACTTGGCGGCTTGAGTCACCGTCGGGCAGAACCAACCTGGCAACCGGGTACCAGACCCTGCCCAGACGCGGCACGACTCTCGTTCTGCGCAGGCGCAGGAAAGGCTAGCCTAGACGCTAGGGTTGGGGGCTGGGGCCGCGCGGGCCTGACGGGGCGGAGCTTAGAAGCTTCTCTGCGCTTGCGCCGAAGGGGCGTGGCGGTCGCACCTGCGCGAGTTGGGAGAAGGAGGAGGGGCGAGGTGACGCAGGCGTAATAATAGAGAAGGTGCCAGAAAGATCCAAAACAAGTGGCTGCGGCCGTCGCCCAGGAGTCCTCGGACGCCGAAATCCGGTAAGGACCCAGCGAGGCCTAAGGGCGACTGGTGGCGGGTAGACGGGGCCTCCGGGTGCTGGGGAGATGGCGGGATCGCCCTTACAGAGCGAGGGGGTCGCGTTCGGACAGTACCACCTGTGTAGAGAGAACGGGTTGGTTGGCCCCACTTGTAGGGGCAGAGGGTCATTTTCTGACGGTACCACTTCCCTGGGGGGTGTGGGGCTGTGATCGGACAGTACCACTTGACAAGCGAGCCAGAGGCACGTCCGGGCAGTACTACCCAGAGTCAAAGGGCAGTTGGCAGGGTGCCCTGGGCTGGGCCCCTAGACTTGTTCGGACCGAATCTCGGGGTCGGGTCGCGAGGCCGGTGCATGACTTACCACCTAGAGAGGGGCTTTCGCGCTCTACCAGTCCCCCAGGTCCGAGGACGAGCGGGGTCTGGCGTCTCGACTTGTTACTAGGGGACCTCGGGCGATACCATTCCCTTCCTGGGAAAGGGGGACACAGCGGGGTTAGCGTGTGAGAGGGACGGGGCCGGGCGGGCCAGGGCGGGGGGACCCACTGGCAGAGGTGGAGTCCGAGCCCCCGCGTCGCTGACCAATGCCCCTTCCCTGCTGTGTGGGTTCTAGGCCCCGGTTCTGAGATTGTTCCGCCCCCCTCCCCGGGTATGGCGCTGTCCGGGCCGACCCCGGCCCCGAGCTGGGAGGAGGATGAATGCCTGGACTACTACGGGATGCTGTCGCTGCACCGTATGTTCGAGGTGGTGGGTGGGCAGCTGACCGAGTGTGAACTGGAGCTGCTGGCCTTCCTGCTGGACGAGGCCCCCGGCGCTCCCGGCGGCCTGGCTGGCGCCCGCAGCGGCCTGGAATTACTGCTGGAGCTGGAGCGCCGTGGGCAGTGTGACGAGAGCAACCTGCGGCTGCTGGGGCAACTCCTGCGCGTGCTGGCCCGCCACGATTTGCTACCGCACCTGGCACGCAAGCGGCGCCGGCCAGGTATGGTTGGAGGGGAGGATGACCGACTTCCGGTAGGAAGAGGGCCTTGCTCATATTCCTGGCCCCTCCCCCCGTGGTGCCCGATGCCCACGGTGCCTCATCAGACAACCTATGTCCCTTCCCACTCCCGTTCCTCCCAGGGTATCAATGAGAAAGACAAGTGGGAGCAGGCATGGCTTTGGGAGGGGTGGACTTGTGACAATTAGCCACATGAATAATGATGGTGGTAGCCAGGGTTTATGGAGGGGTTATTTCCTGTCAGGCAAAGCAGTAAGCCCTTCATGCGAATTATCACCTGATATCCTCCCAGTAATCTCAGGAGGAAGTTTTTTTGCTGTCCTCACTGAAAGGAGAAAACAGCAGGTTCAGAGAAGTTAAGCAGCTTGCCTGTACCTAAGAACTGGATCTTTTGTGCTGGGCCCAGGCCATCCCAGGTGATGGGACTGACAAAGTATTTATTCCATGAAGCTTATGTTGTGTAGAGCAATCAATAAAACAGATAAATGGCTTATTTTTAGATACAGTTATGAAAAGACTAAAAGTAATAGAACAGGGAGAGAGGCAGGTCTCCTTAGATTGGGTAACCAATTGAGACCTTTTTTAAAAGGTAATATTTGAACTGAGGATGCCTGGCTCTGGATCATAGATCTCAGAGAAAATTCCAGACAGAGGAAAGGGCCTGCTTCCAAGGCCTGTGACAGGAATGAGTTTGGCTTCTTCAGAGGCAGGGTGGCTGGAGCAAAGGGGACCCCAGCAAGGGCAGAGAGGTAGGTGAGAAGCCACATCACACGGGCTTGCAGATAACACAGCTTGAAGTGTGGGAGCCAGGAATCAAACCCAGCTGGTTTGGCTCCAGACTTGCTGCCTTTAGTCCTTGTGTAGAAGTACTCCTGGAGGACAGCAGTCCTGAGAAGGTGAGAAGCTGGGAGTGTTGCAGGTTCAGGCACCCCAGAGTGCCTAGGCCTTGAGCTGACAAGCATTTGGCAGGGTTATTGGAGATGGAGTGGCTATTTTAGGGAACGGGCTTGTGCCTTTCCACTGCCCAGAGTAAGCCCATGCGAGGGCAGGAGAAGGGCGGCACTAGGGAAGAAGTGACAGCATCTTTGAAAAAATATGTTCTGGAAGAGAAGATCTGGGGAACTTACAGAAAGCTGTGCTTGCTTCTCTGGAGCTCAGGGATTGCCGGGGACAGTTGATGGACAGCATTGCAGGGATCCTGGCCATAATGGCGCTTGCAGAGTTACCCTTGACAGTGCTGAAGACGGGGGCGTGGGGGGGGGGGGGGGGGGGTGGGCCCACCGAGCAGCTGCTGGGCAGGAGTATTTGGAAGGGAGTGGGTATCTGGGCTCCGACCTTGGGTACCTACAGGGCAAGTGTTCATCTTGGGGGAGCTGGAGGCTGGGCCTGGCAGAGACCAGGGACTATGAATGCCTTTTTTCTCTCTGTAGTGTCACCAGAACGCTATAGCTATGGCACCTCTAGCTCTTCTGCAAAGAGGACAGAGAGCAGCTGCCGCCGCCGCCGCCAGTCAAGCAGTTCTTCAAATGCTCGGCAGGGTCAGTGGGAGACAGGTGAGCCCAGCTGCGTGTGCATGAGGGCGGTGACTCTCCCTTCTGAATCCTGATGAGCCTTTCCCACCCTGGCCCATCAAAGAAGGGATCATTCTTCCTTGTTTCTGCTTTGTAAGTGTTGTTACTACACGAGCATGTGTCCAGAAGCAACATAGTTTGTTTCTTATGGTTTTATACTTTAAATGGCACCCCATATGTATTGTCATTCTGGATTTTTTTTTTAAGATTTATTTATTTATGCATAGAAGAACTGGGGTAGAGGCCAGAGGTATGGTGGGTGAGAGGACCCACTAGAGACAGAGTGGGGAGCAGTACAGGCAGACTGACTGAAATACACTGCTGAGGGGAGCAGTGGGCGGGTCAGGAGAAGTCTGCTGCGCCATGTGGGTCAGCTCCCTGGCCTGGAATCGAACTCGTGCTGCAGTGGCTGTAGATCACTTCATAGTGCTGCACTTTAACCTGTGGTGCCACCGGGGACGGCCCACTTCTGGATTTTTTGTGCAGCTCTTTGAGTGCAAATGATAGGCACCAAGACACTTGCCTATAAGTCATAGGCCTCTCCTGAAAATAAGGAGGTTCTCCTATGCTACTCTGGGATCATTGTCAAGCCTGCAGAAGTAAATGATGGTCTGTTTTCAAATCTCTCAAGATCGTCTCCACTTAGGGCCTACTCAAATGTGAGTTGCTGTGTATTGAGCTTTTATGACATTGAGGTATTGACCCTTCCAGTCCACTGGTTTTGTAGAATGTTGAGATTGTTTCTGGTATATCTAATTATATACTGATGGTGTCATTTAATTTGCCCCTCTGGCCTGTATATTTCCTGTGATTTGAACCTGCATCTGGAGACTTGGTTAGATTTCAGGCTGCACGTCTGTGGGAGCCTTGTTCCTTGGTTGACACTGTGCCCCATGTTAGAGCCTATTGGGAGGTCCTGCTTTTCTGTTGTGGGGGGGGGGGTCGTCTGTCTGCAGTTGTCACTCATTGCAAAGGAATATTTATCCCTTTATGGATAGTAAACAATCTATGGAATAACACATTAGCACACCCTGTTCCCCAACCACATCCCAGTGGGCTTAGTATCCATCAGTGATCCTGCCCAAACCACTTGTTACAGTAGCATCTGTAAAATAGCAGCCTTCTGAGTTTTTTCTACTTATATTAGAATACATTAGGCAGTTTCTGTCTCTCTTTTTCTTTTTTTTTGTGGGGAGCTTAGGGAACATGTCACTGTGAAGCCATGCATTTTTATTTATTTACAGTGTGAGAACTGATTAGTCATTCTTCCTGATGTTCAAGTTGGTTAACTCCTGCCTTTGACTTGTCTCCATTGTTCTTTGTAGCATCCTTCTTTGTGGCTCTGCATGAGGTTTTGGGCTCTTTGTACTTTCCCTCTTGGCTGTTTTGAGGAGCCTGGTTTCTTTAGAAGCTATGAAATTGAGAAACTGAGATCTAGTGGCTGAGGGTGAACATCATCTAACTTCTTTCAGTGAGCAGTGCCAGAAGCTACTTTAAAATAAGTTCTTGTGGGACCTCTCTGGTGGCACAAGGGGTTAAGTCTCAGCACTGTCAAGCTATCAGCAGCCATGGGCAGCCACTGCAGCATGTGTTCAATCCCAGGCCAGGGAGGTGACCCACATGGGGCAGCAGACTGCTCCTGTCTTGTCCACTGCTCCCCTCAGCAGTGTATCTCATGTACTTTTTTTTTTTTTAAAGATTTATTTATTTATGCATACAGAACTAGGGTACAGGCCCAGTTCTTGGGGGGTGAGAGCACTCACCAGAGACAGAGTAAGGAGCAGAGCAGGAAGACTGATGAAGTAAGTACACTGCTGAGGGGAGCAGCGGGCAGGAGAGGTCTGCTGCGCCATGTGGGTCAGCTCCCCAGCCAGCTGGGAATCGAATTCATGCTGCAGTAGCTGCGAACAACAGCCTCAAAGTGCTGTGCTTTTAACTGGTTGTGACACCAGGGAGGCCCTCAGCAGTGTATTTCAGTAGATCTCTGTTCTCTTCCCCACTCTGTCTCTGATGACAGCAACTCTGGCCTACCCCTGTTCTTATATGCATAAATAAATAAAAATAAATGCTAAGAAAAAGTTCTTGTTAGTATTATGAATTCAAAATTAACTTATGGGCTCTCCCTGGTGGCGCAGCGGGTTAAAGCACAGCACTGCAAAACTAGCAGCAGCCACTTCAGCACGAGTTTGATCCCCACATGGCAAAGCAGACAGACCTCTCCTGACCCGCCCGCTGCTCCCCTCAGCAGTGTACTTCGTCAATCTGCCTGTTCTGCTCCCCACTCTGTCTCTGGTGAAGCCTCTCACTGCCCCTGCACCTCTGTCCTGTACCCCAGTTCTGTATGCATGAACAAATAAATCTTAAAATAAATGAACTTATGGGCCCTCCCCAGTGGCATAGCAGGGTGGAGCGCTGCACTGCGAAGCTAAGCCAAGCTGTGGCCACTTCAGTGCAAGTTCAATTCCCACCCCAGAGCTGGCCCGCATGGCGTGCAGACCCCTCCTGACACACCCACTGCTCTCAGCAGTGCATTTTGTTGATCTGCCTGTTCTGCTCCCCACTCTGTTTCTGGTGAATCCTCTTGCCTCCCCTGCACCTCTGGCCTGTACGACATTCCTGTAAGCACAGATAAATAAAATCTTTAAAATAATTTTTTTTAAATTAACTTACAAGGGTTTTATTTTCTCTCACACTAAAAATTTTGGTCCTTAATTTATGTGGAGATATGGACTTACTGCTGTAATAAAATAGCTTCAGCACTATTAAAGTCCTACAGAGTATTTAGTCAGGATGTTCTTCCAATTACTTGAAATAATTTTTTTCTCTTGGTGTTCATGTTACCAGTTATATATACAGTAGGGTTCACTTGTTTCTGTTTGTTTACTTTCTGGTTTTCCTTTTTTTTTTTAAGATTTTTTTTTTATGCATATAGGCATACAGAACTGGGGTAAAGGCCAGAGGTGCAGGAGCAGTGAGAGGACTCACCAGAGACAGAGTGGGGAGCACAACAGGCAGATCGATGAAGCACACTGCTGAAGGGAGCAGTGGGGAGACCGGGGCGCAGCAGACCCTGTGGGTTACTCCCTGGCGGGGGATGTGGCTTTCGCAGTGCTGTACTTTAACCTGTTGCGCCACCAGGGATGGCCCCATAAATAAATAAATCTTTAAAAAAAAATCAGAACTGAAGAATTAAGTGTTCTTAGAAGTATTATTTTTGGCCCCTCCCTGGTGGTACAGCGGGGTTGGAGCGCTGCACTGCAGAGCTCAGGCGAGCAGAGGCAGCTTCAGTGCCAGTTGTGTCCCTGTCCTGGAGCTGACGCTCACCCGCTGCTCCCCTCAGCAGTGTACTTTGTCGATCTGCCTGTTTTGCTCCCCACTCTGTAAGCATAGATAAATAAAATCTTTAAAATAATTAAGTAAATCTTAAAAAAAAAAAAAAGAAGTATTATTTCTACTGTTCTCCCCACCCTAGTGAACATGTAATTAATTTCATTCCTTTCTACCTTTTCCTTACAGGGAGTCATCTTGGAAAAATAGCAAACATGTATATATATTGTTATTTTCCCCTATTTGAAATGTAGCAATTTGTATACAATTTTGTACCTTGTTTTATTGCTACAATCAGTCTGTCTTGGAAATTACTCTGTATTCTTTTCCCAGACATTTACATTGTTTTCTAGTTACAGGTTGTAAACCACCAACAATAGGTTATGAACTATAAGCAGTGCCCTGGGGCTGCTGTCATGTTTGTCTCCTGGGGCAGGATTTTCTCTGGGTCTATCTGCCCTTCTGGATGATGCTAGGCAGGAGCCCCCACCGTCGGGACAGGGCTGCTGAGACCCAGCTGAGGGGCTCACCCAGCATCGCACGCACAAAGGTTAACCTCAAGCTCTTCCCTTTGTTGCACTTGCCATACTGGTCTGTCTCTGTCGCCCCAGGTTCCCCACCCACCAAACGGCAACGGCGGTGTCGGGGCCGGCCCAGTGGCGGTGCCAGACGGCGGCGGAGAGGGGCTCCGGCTGCCTCCCAGCAGCAGCAGGAAGCGGCCAGGTCCTCCCCATCGGAAGGCAAAGTGACCTGTGGTAGGTGTCTGTGGGCTTTGGCACATGCCTGCCGGTGCCCATGGCAGGCCGCAGAGCCGGAGGGTGGAAGCAGTTGGCCTTGCAACTGCTGGGGGTGGCGGGCCTGCTGGGTAGGCTCTGCGCTCAGCTATCTTGCAGCACAGTGGAATGCTTGTCCTTTTTGTTCTGTTTTCCACCCGTAGTTGTCTTGCGCCACCATCTCCGGGAAGCCTTTCCTGACACCTTCTCCCTAATTTCATTTCTTAGAAAACATTTGCACGGATTGACTTATTCAACAATGGTCGCAATGTGTTGGTTGGACAATGCATGGGAAAAAACAAGGCTCTCAGGAAGGGCTTCTTGAGTCAGAGTCATATCATAGTCCTGGTAGTTAAGTTTTCTGGTCTTGGGCAGACAACTGAACCCCTTGCCTCAGTTTCTGTATCTGTAAAATGAGGCTGGTGGTGGTACCTTCCAAATAGGGTTGTTAAGAGGAAAAAAATGAATGAACTCAGGCGATACACTGGGAGCAAGTGGCCCAGGTTCCATGCTACACACTTGTTACTGCACGGTGCGCTTGGGGAAAGTACCTGCCTTTGTGGAGGTGACTGTGTAGCTAGGGTGACAGACCAGTGACACTGAAGCTTAACTTGGATAATAAGTGCCGCCAAGGGAGGCTGGGGAGCAGATGAGGGACTCGGCAGGGTTGGCCGGACGGGAGTTTGGATTTCATTCCGTGCATCAAGTGCCGGCAACATGTTTGAAGCAGGGGAGCGAGGTGATCTGATACCTGTTTTTAAAGGAACTCTCATGCATCCAGAAAATCAGCTAGAGAAATTACTGGCAAGGCTGTGAGGTCCAACCCAGAGGAGAGAGCAGAGGTTTGCTGGTGGAGTCGCAGGGGAGGAGGCCTGCTAAGGAGCTCAGGAACCCGCTGGACATCAGGCTGGCTAGGCCGACAGCCAGGCTGGGGGCTCTGCTGTTGCGGCTTTTGCTCAGTCTTCACCCTTGAGAAATTCTTCTGTCCCTGTTGGAGAACAGAGGCATGGGAGGGGCACACGGGCACACGCATTCTGCCCTCCTCTGGCACCTGCTCTGCCGAGTGGGGCAGACCTGGGGGCACAGGAGGACACTTGGTGGGGAGGTGCTCATTCGGGGAAGGTGGTGGGACTGCAGCAAGAGTAAGGAGGTGCGGGTGGCTCTGCATTCCCCAAGATCCCGCCGCCTGGGGGTGCTTCCTCCTACGTGCGGCAGCTTCTCCAGCCCGTAGCGCACACAGGCTCGCCTCCCCGAGTGCCCAGGCCGTTGGTGTCACAGCCACTCCAGAGATGAGGCTGCACATACCTGTGCTGGGTGCTGCCAGGAGGAACAGACCAGTTGAGCCAGCCGGTGTCCTTGGACAGCAGGGGCACCCTCAGGCCCTTGCCTGCAGCTTTTCCCCAGGTCAGGTGGCAGCTACCAGGACACCAGGCTGGCTGGGCAGGGGGAGTCACTGCCTCCCTAGAATGAGGCCCAGCTGAGGGTGGGAGGGGTCTCATTGTCTGAGGAGTCTTCCGGTCTCCCTGAGGGCAGGGCCATGGCAGGGAGGTGGTTAGCCTGGGGTGGGTGTGGCAGGTCTGATGAGGGATGGGTAACAGGTCTGACTGCTGACTCACCAGCAGGGTGGAGCTGGAGTGAGGCTGTGCCCAGGAGGACCTGGCTTTCCCCTCTGAAATTGGGGGTGGATTGCCTTGAATGAGCCTTAGTTCTAGGGCTGGAAGGAAGCCCCCAGGTCTGATTGAGAGAGGCTTGTCATTCTCACCCCTCCTCACCTTCGACAGAACCAAACTAAAGTCCAAGTACCGAGAGTCTGAGGATGGGAACCTGGGGCTCCGGGGCTGCAACAGACCCGTGAGTGTCTGTGTCCCCCTCAGCACCACACACCAGGTGTTGTGTTGGGCTGCTACTCGCCCGACCTTGACTTCTCAGAATAGCCGTGGAGGTCGGGGTGACATCACCGGTGTGCAGAGGGGAAGGGAAGTCCCTAGTTGAGTGGCAGGGGCAGAACTGAGTGGAACTGGGCTTAAAACTTGGACCCCTTCATTTGCTTATGCCCTGTGTGTTCCAGAGCACTGGCTGTATGCGAGGCAGGGCAGGGCTTGCCCTTGTGGAGCCTGTGTTCTGCGGGGAGGAGCAATCTTGAGACAGAAGAACTTCAGATGTCAGACTAGAAGGTAGAGAGTGCCGGAAAATGACATTTTGACCTGTTTTTAAGGTTGGGTGGTACCTAGGAAGGCCTCTAAGAAGAGAGGGAGCAAGCCTGAAGGTGACTGAGGAAGAATGTTCCAGATAGAGGGGCAGCAGGAGCCAAGTCTGAGGAGTGCCCATGGTGGTGAAGCGAGGAAGGGGGTGAGAGGTGGATGGGGGTGAGGAAAGGAGAGGTGATGGGGCCCAGCCTTCTGTGCTTGTGAGCCACAGACCAAGGCTGGGCATTTTTTTTTCTTGAAAGCGATTGGAGGGTTTGAATGAATGACAGGATGTGCTTTGCCCCCCCCCCCCCCACTCGCATGGACAGATAAGCATGATGGACCCTGGCCCCGCCACCCAGCTTTGGTGGTCGTCAGCTCACGACTGATCTCCCTTCATCCACCATACTGTGCTGGAGTCAGTTCCAGGGGTCCTGTTGCTCCATCTGTAGGTTTTTGCTGTCTTTAAAAGACAGGAATTCTTAGAAGAGAGAGATCACTCCAGAAAATTTAACAATTCCTTGCCACCAAGTATCTAATCAATGGGCACATTTCCAGTGGGCTCAGAAATGTCGGTTCTCTTCCGTCTCCCTCCCTTGGAGGATCCCTCAGCTGGGTCCCAGTGTTCCCCAGACTGGGTTTTCGGTTGTCTCCTGTGGCAGGGCTGTGGCCTTGTCATTGGTGCTGCCTGAAAGTTGCTGGGGCCGGATCAGATTCTGGTCTGATGTTAGTTTGGTTCAAGCTCAGCTCCTAGGGTGTTGTGTGCTTCCGCCAGGCTTGGGCGCCTGGCTCTCTGTGCCCTGGTCATTACCTCTTGGTCTTACTGCCTCGGTTTGTTAGTTCAGTAGAACTTCACAGTTGGCACAATGACTCCGGCCGCCTCTTGGGGAGGAAACTGGTTGTCTACAGGAGGGTGGGGCTGGCTCTAGTGTGGGACCAAGTAGAGTTCTCTTCAGTTCCTCAGCAGCTCCCAGACTAGGGACCGCACCATCAGCTGTTCCTCTGCTCACCTGGCCCAGCCCTGTCCCTCCTACCTTCCTTGGCCCCTACTGGAAGCCTCTCCCATTTCCTGTGCCCTATTCTGTCCCAGAATAGAGAGTGAGTGGGTATGTGGCTGAGGAACAAGAAGGTGCTGGGGTCCATGTTGGTGCAGGAAGCTGGAGTAGCTTTTCTTTCAAGGAAAGCACAGCCCTTCCTTCACGCCGGGTCTGGGAGTATGGCCCTACAGTTTCCGGAGCGGGGAGGCGCCATGTGCCAGGGCTTGGTGTTCTTGGCCTGAGGAAACAGGAGCCGGCCCCCAGCCCGGTGCCTATTCCGGATCCTCTTCCTGCCAGCCCTGGCCATCACACCCGGGCTAGTCCTCCTGCACGGCCACCTTGCTCTCCCTGATAGCTGCCCCAGCCCTGTTTCTGATGCTGGGCTGCTTCTGCAGAGCAGCTGGAGTCAACCTGGCATCCGGGATCACACCCTCCCTGCTGTGCCTGGAGGGTTTGCTATGTGCCAGGCACCACCTCAGCCCTGTACCTGCATCCAGCTGTGAACCCCGCAGCCCCTCATAGCAGGTGCTGGCGGAGCCTGGTTGGAAGGAGGCAGCCACACTGAGGAGCGTGCAGCGTGGTCGGCACTCACGGCCCTGCCCGCCAGTTGCCCCCTTGTGCCCTCCTCCTCGTCCCACCCAAACTGGTACTCAGTCTGTGAGCCCGCCAAGTTCATTTTCTGCCTCTGGACTTTCACACATACTCTTCTGTCTTCATTTTTCTCCACTGTGTCTCGACCTACATGTGTCCCTTCACATTTCACTTCCAGTGTCATGTTCTGTGTCATGGCAATCTAACGACAACCCATGCTCTGTAATTTTCTCTCCTGGCCTTGGAGATGTCTTTTAATTATAGACTTATGTGTGTGGTGATGAGAGAGGCAACAAACAGGATAGGAGTAGTTAAGAGCTGGGCCTCTGGAGCCAGGCACCTTAGTTGGCATTCCAGTTCTGCAACTCCTTGCTGTGTGGCCTTAGGCAGGTGACTCATGCTCTGTGCCTCAGTTTCCTCATCTGCAAAAACAGGACAATAATAGCACTGCCACACTAGGTTTCAGGGGCGATTAAAAGAATCCATGGAGGTGAAGAGTGTGCCAGCCTGCAGTGAACACCCGTGTACTGGAGACTGCACGTGATACATGAGACTCAGGGCCTGGCTGCCCAAGTGGCTCAGATCATGCTTGTCTTCCTACCCACAGAGGGGCCTCCCTGTCCTCTCCTGTGTTCTGTGCCAGACTGTGCTCTGGTGAAGGGCTTCCTCAGTTGCAGAGGGTGACTAAAGGGCTAGGGTGGCAGGCACTCCCTAGCTGGCATCTCTTGGCCCCACTTTCTGTGGGGGCGTTTCTGGCACTCAGCACCTGTCTGTTGAGTGAAGACTGAATGGGGACAAAGGAGTCTGACCTGGTCCTGTCTTCCTCCCGAGACCTCCCCATGTTGGGGTGGGCTCTGGATGGACAGACAGTTGATGCACAGGTCAGGGAGCAGCATGCTGAGGAGATAGGATCTGTAAGGGCGCTCACACCTGGGAAGATGTGGGGTCCTCTGACCTCAGCCTTGGTGGGTGATGGGGCCTCTGGGCAGGGAGATGGACCCGTGATTTGTGAGTAAGGCTCGTGCTGGAAAACTTCCCTTGTGACTGGCGGGCAGGGGAGGGAAGGATGGAGTGGAATGGAAGAGGGGGGCTCAGGTGAGAGAGGACTGGGTTGGGCAGGGGCATGGGGATGGACAGGTGCATGTCAAAATCACAGTTCCTGTTTCTGGGTGTCTTCCGGGTCGTCGTAACCTGCGTCAAATGCATCACGAGTTGCCTTATTTGATCCTTATAATCCCACCATGCAGCAGGGACCTCTTGTTTGTTTATGTTTTTCAGGTGGGGAAACTGAGGCTCAGAGAGGTGAGGTCACATGCCCAAGGCCCCACAGCTAGAGAGTGGCAGAGCCGGGACTCGCCTCAAGGTCTGTCGGACTCCGCCACCTGGCTCTGTGCCTCTGCCACTGAGCACCCCGTGTGGCCTTGGACAGGTGCTGCTCCTCCGGGTCCCCTGTGCCCCGCCCCCGCTGATTGAGGGCATGGCCGGACGCTCACAGTCAAGGCTGGGCGCCAAGGCTGGGCGCCAAGGCTGGGCGCCAAGGCTGGGCAGGGAGCGCTGGGCCTCGAGCAGAGAGGGTGAGGTTCCCTCAAGGCAGAAAAGAAAGGGTTTGGGGTTTGGGGTGGGAGGAGGAAGTGGTTGGTACGGAAAGGTTGTCTGGGGGAGCAGTGACCTGCCTTCTGCTTTCTGCTCTGCTGCTGACACGGGGAAAGGTGAAGGGAGCCCGGGACATGCGCTTCCCCTCCCAGAGCTTCAGTTTCCTCATCTGGCAACGGGTTGCGCGTGGTTCCCACCCCAGGGGCTGATAGTGCCGAGCACCCCCGGGGTTAACCACTTGGCGTGTCAGAGCTGCTGGTGGCTGCCGTGTTTGGAGCAGCTGGTGGGCACACGTGCGTGCCCGCCATGTCCTTTCCAGCCATGGCGATAGCCCCGTAACAGCCCTACCCGTGGGCGCTGTCTCCTCATTTAGGCAGAAAGCCTGGCTCAGGCTGTGACTTACCACAGGTCGCATAACTAGTGTTTGAGACACACAAATGGCTTCCTGGGACCCACAGCTGCTCTCTGTGGCCTGGGAGGCCCCGGGACCTCTGCCGCCGCCTGGCTGTGCCGCCCAGGCTGCTTCACTGTCTGCTGCCATTTCCTCGTCTGTAACTTAGCGGAGATAGCAGAGCCACTTGTGGAGTAGATGAGTTCGCGAGAGTGGCTCTTGGGCGGCACCTGGCAGATAGTCAGTGCTCTGGGGTGTTGGCTGCTGTAGTTATTTCAGCTCAGAGCTGACCCTTGTGAGGAGGTTGTGTGAGTGGCCCAGCTGCACAGGTGGGGAGTCAGCTGCCCCACAGGGAGAGAGGCCGAGGTCAGGTTCACAGGGAGAGCCCCAGCAGTCGCGCTTCCTGTGCCCAGCAGCGCTGCGCCCACATGTGGGCGGGGGAGGGCAGGCTTGTGAGTGACTCAGCTCAGACTGGTTTAAGCAAAAGAACTGACTGTAGCTGAAAATACAGGTGATCTGGGCTCACCCGTGAATCCAGGAACGATTCCTCTGTATCACCAGCCAGGCTTCTTTCTCTCCCTCGTAGTGGTTGGATGGCCCCCAGCAGCTCTGGGCTGATCACCCAGCTCTTAGCCTCTGTGGAAAGAGCACCCTCTTCCTGGAAGTGCCAGCCCTGTTCTCATCTGGTGTCTGCAGGCCCGCTGGCGTGGTCGGTTGGGAGTGTGACTGGAGGGTGGAGGGCAGGAGATGGGTTGTTTGCCTAAAGGCTAGTCCATTCGCGTGGTTCTTTCACAAGTACATATGGAGCACCTACCGTGTGCCAGCAGGCTACATAAGCGACCAAAGCAGACACAAATCCTTTCCTTCAGGAAAACTGGTGGGGGGAAACAGGTCATAAACAAGACAGTCAGGGAGCATAGAGTGAGCCAGAAGGTGCAAGTGCTTAGAGAGAGATGGTGCAGGGTATGGGGAACTGGGAACACTTTGGGCCAAGGAAGGGACTAGGCCTCACCGGTGAGGGACAGCTGAGCAGAATCCTGGAGACAGAGATGGAGTCTGGAGGAGGCAGGACCAGAGCCAGGTGAACCTGCCTAGTGGTGGTGGGGCAGCCAGGAGGGGGTGAGGGTGGAGGGGGGAACCTCTGGAAGGCAAGAGGAAGAGGTCCCCTGTCAGGAGGTAACAGGGAAGTCACGTGAGGGTGTCACCCATGCTTGGGTGTGGTTACCAGAGGGGAAGGACGGAGGGCAGGTGCAATGCAACCCAGGGTGGGGGTGGAAGACGGGGCAGAGCCTGTGGGAAGAAGCCCAAGGGTGGGGGAAGGCAGCAGTCTCCCTGGGCCCCTGCATAGTGTGTGGGGTCTGGGCCCCTCCCTGATGAGTCCCTCCTTCTCCACAGATATCAGGCTCAGGGTGCGAGCAGAGTACTGTGAGCATGGGCCCGCCTTGGAACAGGGCGTGGCCTCCCGTCGGCCACAGGCACTGGCTCGGCAGCTGGACGTGTTTGGGCAGGCCACTGCGGTGCTGCGCTCCAGGGACCTGGGCTCTGTGGTGTGCGACATCAAGTTCTCGGAGCTCTCCTATCTGGACGCCTTCTGGGGTGACTACCTGAGTGGCGCCCTGCTCCAGGCCCTGCGGGGCGTGTTCCTGACTGAGGCCCTCCGTGAGGCCGTGGGCCGGGAGGCTGTCCGCCTGCTGGTCAGTGTGGACGAGGCAGACTACGAGGCTGGTCGGCGCCGCCTGCTGCTGATGGAGGAGGAGGGGAGCCGACGCCCTAGTGAGGCCTCCTGATCCTGGATGTGGCAGGACTGACCCCACCTCCTAGCCTCGGGGCCATCTTCATTCAGAGGACGAAGACCATTTCTGCCCCTTGAGGACTGTCACTCCAGCAGCTAAGAGGACTGTGCCAGACCGCCAGGCCCTTGGACAGCCTGGCCCCTTGACAGCCCCTCCCACAGGATGTGGGCTCTGAGGCTTAAACCACTTCCAGCTGAATTTCCTTCCCAACCTCCCCATTCCCACCCCTCCCCCAGGTGTGTTCTTCAGCTTCAGGAGGCCAGGGGTCCACCAGTGGCCCCCTGCACATCACATCCCTAACTCTCACCCACACCTCTCTCTCTCTCTCTCTCTTTCTCTCTCACTCTCACACACACACACACACACACACACACACACACAGCCGTCTCTGAAATCTCCCCACTGTTTGCTCTGGCCTGCTTCACATACTCCTTTGGCCTAAGGGCTTCTCTCAGGATCTCTGATTTTATCGCCCCACGGGGGCTTCAACCACACCAGTTGGCACTGGAGCTGGGGTACACAGGGGGCCTGCTTACCTTGCCCACACATCTCTATAGCCAGCCAGCTTCCACACACGGACCTGTTCGCCACCACCTCCTACCCACTAGAGCGCTGCACAGGGAGTGTTAAACTGTGTTGCAGTAGCAGCAGACCAAGGCTTGCTGTTGCTAAGGGCCTAGGACCAGAAACCAACTACCTTTTTGGAAAGGGAAGGCAGAGCCTTGGGGGTTGATGGGGAAGGCCTTTTCCAAGTGGCACCAATAAAACTGCCCTGGAAGGGGCATTGGTGGGCATCAAGGCTCTGGGACTCTTTGTTTATGTGTTGAAGGAAGGAGCAGAGAAGAGCCTGAGCCCAGTACCAATCCCAAGTTCTGGCCCACCGTCAGGCTGGAGTGTGGGTGGGATACCAGACTATCATGTGACAGCTGCTGCCCCACCTCGCCCTCTTCTCTGGACTTCAGTTTCTTCACCTGTGGAAGGAGGAAATACTGCCTTGAATTATAAATTCTGCCCATCCCATTTACACATGCTTTGCTCCTGTATGTCTTGGGAGTAGAGTGTTTTTAACTGGTTCGATGAGGTGGACCAGCTACCTACAAGGCTGATTAAGTCCAAATGTTTGAAGCAAAACCACAGCAGCCAGGGTTCTATTTCTGGAGCTGGTCTTCCAACTCTTTACACCAGGACATTCACCTCTTCCTCCTCCTGAGGCTAAACCCCTCTTTCTGTTGCACAGTGGCTACAGCTAAGCTGGTGGCCTCCTGCCCTCCCCCCACCTCATGTCTAAGCACTTAAGAACTCAAATTCTTACATTAATACTTGTGTTTTTCTTCCTGAGGGGGACGGGAGCTAGGGTTAGGGAGTTGGGGGTGGGGTGAGCAGGGATGCCCAACTGCTGGCTGTCCTGGGGGAAGGGACACCACTGCTCATACCTGGGCACCCGAAGTGGAACCCTAGCCTATATGGTTGTATTGGGGCAGAGCAATATACCTAGCTGAGCCCTGTGCAGGAGTTAACAGCAGGTCCAGGTAGTTACTGCGGCCCCTAACTGCCCATTTACCTTCACCGAGAAGGGCTTAAGGTCTGCTTGGCATTTACACAGACATGGCTTAATACTTAGCCAACCTGTGTGAAGTAAGCTTTTACCACCATTCTGGACAGGAAATGGGCTGGGAGGGGAAGGAGCATTGAGGCAGAGCACAGCTCTGCCCCAGTGGACACAGCTCGGGGAGATGTGAGGGCTGCCACTCCTTGTCACCGCCCCTCTAGCTGGGGCCTCTGGGCTTGCTTTCCACAACCTTCCATGACTTAGGGTCCACCTCTTGGCGTGTGCGTCTTAGGGATGGGCGCCACTTCTAGTCTAGGCCCCCTATAGGATCCCACCTATTGGGCTAAATCCCGGGAGGCACCTCTCCCGCAGGCCCTGGGACCTGCCCTGACTCGCTCCCGCTCCGCGCTTAGCCTGAGATCCAACCTGTAAGCTGGCGCGTGCGGCCCGGAGGTGAGGGAGTCTGCCCTGGAGGACCCTGGAGCCTGCGCAGGCGCGCTGGGTCCCGGGAGTGGCGGGAACCCTCCGGCCAGGGCGTGCTGTGTGCGCCTCCAGCGCCTCTCTGGGCGCATGCGCTGTGGAGCACACCTGGGTGTGCCGGAGCCTGCGCCCACGCTAGGGCCGACTGACACGCTCAAGTCCCAGAAGTATGTCAGACCCAGGTCATGAGGACAACGCGGGGACATCAAAGGGCTTCCGAAGTCGAGCGATACTCTGTGGGTCAGGGCCTGGAAAGCCTGCGGTTAAGGGAAGTGAGGGCCCGCCGGAGCCCCGAAGAAGGCCGCCATGGTTTCAGACGAGAGGCGCTGAGGCTGGGCCCTGAAGGATGAAAAGGAGTGCAACAGCTTGACAAGCGGGCCATTCCAGGCGGAACAACCCTCTGGAAGACCATAGTGAACTTAACTGAATGGGATGTAGGCGTATGGGCAGAAGCAAAGGTATGTGGCCATGCACAAGCAAGCACCCCTCATTTGGTCAGCAGCCACCTGTCACCATGTGCTGGGAGTCACGTGCAAGCTGGGCCTCCCGCCTAGCAGGCCCTGCGCTGGCCGCTGCTGGGCCTAGAGACGCTGGCCTGGGTTCTGGTTCTGGAGCGCCCTGGGCTGCTGGGGAGCCACACTGACAGTGGGGGTCCCAGCCCAGACGAGTTAGAGGCTGAACCAGCAGCAGAGGTTGCAGGAGCCCAGGGAACATGTGGGGAGGGACGCCGGAAGGCTTCATGGGTTGGGGTGCCTCCTGTTGATTCTATTGCAAATTAACACCGTCGACAACGTCGTCATTACCAAGAAATATTTTCATTGTGAAATATAACTCAGAAAACAACATAAAGCATAAATGTACCGTTAATAAGTTGTAGAACAATTGTGTGTGAAACAAAGTTAAGAAATGCATTATCAGCACCCCGGAATCCACCCACCCTTCTGTTCAAGTGCACCTTCCTACTCACAACCCCCTTCTTTCCCTGAGAAGAGCTGGGGACATCATCCTGGCTTTAACAGTAATAATGTCTTGCTTTTCTTTACATTCTAGTTTTATGTCACTCAGTTATATAGTTAATTTTCTCTCTGGAACTTGATATAAATGGAATCGAACAATGTTTTCTGTTGTGTCTGGTTTCTTTGTTCATTGTCATGTTTGTGAGATTCGCCCATGTGGTGTTTATGTGTAGCTGACTTATGAATATCCCATAAACAGTTCATAAACTGTGATAAGGACACATGTCATTGTACTTTCAGCCCACCAAATAATCCAAGAGAATCCTCTTATCTCCAAATCCTTTCTGCCTTATAGCTAGTATTGTCAGACGCTTTAATTTTGCCAGTTGGATGGATGTGTGGTGGTACATCAGTGTGGTTTACTTTTCTTCTCCTTGATTAATTTCTGCTCATTCTTGAATGAGGAGTAAGAGGTCTTTGGATGAATAGAATGGGCAAGGTATTCCAGAGAGGTGAAAGAGAGTGTATGAAGATCTCAGGAAACATTTGTTTAAATGGAGTTTTGGTCATTTATTTTTTACAGTGAAAAACTTTAGAATTAGCCAGCTGGATTCAGTTTAGATGATCCAATTTTTAAAAAGATTTATTTTATTTATTTGTGCATACAAGAGCTGGGGTATAGGCCAGTGTGTGTGTGTGTGTGTGTGTGTGTGTGTGTGTGTGAGAGAGAGAGAGAGAGAGAGAGAGAGAGAGAGAGAGAGAGAGAGAGGAAGGTTTCACCAGAGACACAGCAGAACAGGTGGATTGACTGAAATAAACTGCTGAGGGGAGCAGCAGTCGAGACAGGAGAGGTTTGCTGTGCCCTGTGGGTCACTCCCTGGCTGGGATTAAATTCAGGCTGAAGTGCTGCAGATAGCTTCATAGTGCTGAGATTTAACCCCTTGCGCCCTCAGGGAGGCCCTCGTGATCCAGCTTTGTTGGCAACACCCAACTAGTCAGGAGCCAGTCAAACATATGCCTTGTCTCTGATCAAGGTGTTGACCTTTGTCAAGTCAGTATCATAGAGCTTCTTCACAGCCTGTTTGATCTGGCACTTGTTGGCTTTGACATCTACCATGAGCAAGGGTGTGTTATTGTCCTCTGTCTGCTTCTTCATGGCTGACTCAGTGGTCAGAGGGAACTTGATGGCTCACTGGTCAAGCTTGTTTCTCCAGGGGTGGAGGGGGGGCTCTTAAAATTTTTTTAAAAGTATTTTTGCATATAACTGGGGTACAGGCCACAGGTGTGGGGGGTGAGGGGATTCATCAGAGAGCGGGGAGCAGAGCAGGCCGATGGACTGAAATACACTGCTGAGGGGAGCAGTGGGCGAGACGAGACGGGAGAGGTCTGCACTCTGTGTGTTGCCTCCCAGTGGTCAGGGACTGTGGATGGCCTTGTAGTGCTGCGCTTTGACCTGTTGCACCACCAGGGAGGGCCCAAATTCTAAATTTGGACTCAGAAAGTCCTAGGTTGGAATCCTGGCTCTGTCACTTTGCTAAAAGTGCCTGTCACCCAAGCCTTTTCTCCTTCCTTCACCCCACAAGTCATTCAACAGTCATTGACCAATGGATACTTCTGTTCTAGCTGCTGCAGGATGGGCTGGTCGAGCCTGTCTCTGACAAGCTGTGACTCAATGGGGGTCATGATCACTATGGGGGCATCAAACAGGAGCGTAGAAGGGGTGTGGGAGCTCAGACGACTCAGACACCGACTCTGCTCCAGCTTTCCAGAACCCAGGCTTCTGTCCTCAGCTCCCACCACCTTCTGCTCCACTTGCCATTGACATCACTCAACTCCCTGATCACATCCCCTCATTCCTGAACCTCTAGCATCTCTTCACAGACTTCCCCTTCAGTCCCTTAGGTCTGAGGAGGGTAAGGGAAGGAATGTTCCCGCAGGAGCCTGCTGAACCTCTGTGCCTGAAGCTGACAGGTTGTGGAGGGAACAGCCACGCCAGAACCACAAAGACTGTGGCCTTGCTGGGACTCTAACTTGCCCATGACGAGCTATGCTCCCAATTACCAAATCTTTCAGTCTCTTCCCACCTCATCTCTGGTGGTGCTCATCCCACTCCAGCCACCCCCTCGAGTGACCATGGCTTGGACTGGGTCACTCCCCAGAAGTGCAGCAGGGGCAGTAAACATTTCCTGAGCACTGAAACCTCATGCAGGCCCTCGTGTGTGTTGATCCCTCATGCCACATGTGAGGATGGTATTAATAGCCTTGTTTTTGTTTTCTTTTTCCTCCTGGAGTACCCTCATGTCAAAGGCATGGGTACACACTCAGGAAGGTGAAGTCATCCCCTGGGCGACACATTTCATAAAGTGACAGAGCCAGAATTCTAACTGAGGACTTCCCGGGCGCCACATTTAAAATTCCACTTTCATGTTCAGTGGTGAACTTCAGGTCTATACCATGAACACCTGAAATGTATACAATGTTATAATGTCATGCTGCTTCAATTAAAAAAAAAAACCAAACAGATAAAGTTCCTGGCTTTAAAGACAACCTGTTTGAAAGCCAGCATCCTGCGCTCTGATCCCAGCACCTGCACTCCGGGCCTCACACCTGTAGCCTCAGCTTCTAGAGCATTCCACTCCCCAACTCCTCTGTCTCCTGCCACTTGGCCAGACCCCTCCTGGCTCCTCTCCCTGCCCCGCCATCCAGCGGCTTGGCGCACATAGGGCCATCTGCTCTCTCTTGCTAGCTGTCTACTAGTCAGAGTCCGAGTGGGAAACAGAAGGCCCCACAGCTGGGAATTTGAAGATGATTTAATGGAGGGACTGCAGAGGTGTGGGCAGGGTTGAGGGGACCTCCAAGAGCAGTGAAGGCAGCAGGAAGCTGTGACCACCCTTTGGGCTGTGGGGGTGGACAGTGGTCCTGCTGGAGTCTGCTGAGTTACAGATGGCACACACCTGAAGGTGTCACCTGAAGGTGACACAGTTGTGGCACAGCCGGAACCACGGTGCTGACGCAGCACTGGAAGCAGGAGAAACATCCAGAATGATGCCTCTCTCCCATTCTAATGTCCTGGCGGATGCCTGCCTTATAGAGAACCCCACTGGAATTCAGGGTGAGAGATGGTGCCGTCCATGTGGGTAGCCAAGGCAGAGGGGCAGGCCCGGAGGTGAATGGAAAATCACTAGCACACACTCGTGAAGCCCTTGTCCCCGTTCTCGGCCTCTTCTACCAGCACACCCCCAACTTGGGTCCAAGTAGTTGAGTTTGGCTCAGAGAACAAGGGCGGCCAGGAGGGGCGAGTGCCACTCCCACCTCCCAGTGCCCTCAGTTACTGCTGTGGCCTGAGCCGCCTCACCTCTGCCCTTCCAGTCTCACAAATAAAATGCAGGCGAATCAGCCATGGTTTCTTTCAAAACCATGGCTTGCTTCCTGTGCAAACCTACATGTTTCCATGCCTGGATTTGCTTCACTTCCCCAGGCTCTGTCCCAAGCCAGCTTCTCTACCCAGGCATTTCCCTTCTCACGCCACCCAGGGACATTACTGTCACATTCTTCCCTCCTGTTTTGACAGTCCTTCCAGTTCTCTCTCCTTCTTACCCTATAAATATATCCAACTTTCTACCTCTTGAAAAATTCACTCACAGGACATCCTACCTCCCTCTGTTTGAGCTCCCTCTAGTGCCTGCTCTCCTACACAACCAATCCAAAGTTCTGGAAAGATTGAGATTGAGTTGGGGCTCCTGACTGCAGCTGAGAGAGATGTAAGGTAGAGGCAAGGCTGGGAGCGGGAACCCTGAGCCTGGGACTGTTTCTGTCTGCGCCTGGGGCCTCCTAACCTTGAGCCTCCTAAAGTCTGAACTGCCTGCATTCCGGGAACTGATAAGCACTTTGATAAATCAGTTTCTGAAAATCAGCTTCCAAGCCCTTAAAAGCTTGGCCATGCTCCCCCCCCCTTCCTCGTTGGCAGGACTTCTCTGACCCCCGTGGGGGTTGGTGAACCTTGCCCTGGAGCGCAATAAGTTTACTGCTTGTTAGAAACTTTAACTGCCTGGAACCTTTCAAGGGACTCTTGCAAAGGTGAGCAAGGCAGGAATTTTCTTGAAAGAAATGAGGGTGGTGTACACAAAGGAGGGCAAAACAGAAGAGGATCCTCTGAAAACTCTGTAACCAGGGCCATGGAGGGTCAGAGGCAGCAGGAAGGAAAGGCAGTTTCCTCAGGGTCTGGGTGGAGGATGAAACAGCTCCAGGCTCAGACCACCTGTCACATCAGCAGGATTCAAATTCCAGGGAAAGCTTAGGATTGGTGCAGCACGAGTCACATGGCCTCCCCGGCCTGTGGACTGTGGAGCACCCTGAGGGACAGTCTCAGGGAATGGTATCCAGCAGGCTATGGGTGGTGACGAAGAGCTAGGAAGCAATCTGACAGTGGCCTGCTGTAATGAGAGGGATGGTGCCCGGCCCGGCGACATCAGCGGTGACTGGCGGTCCTGCTCACCAGTCTAGCCTTGTCTCCTTGAGTCTCAACTCTCTGAAGCCATTTGCTCCAGCTGCGGATGACCCTCTCTTACCAAATCCAGGGACATTTTTCAGTTTTTATCTGGACCAGTTGCTTGCCATTGAAACTTCCTCCTGTGGCTTCTGCGTAACAAAGCAACCCCAAAACTTAGCATCTCAAAACAACAAACATTGTTTCAGAGTTTCTGTGGGACAGGAATCTCATGCTTGGCTGAGGGCTGTGGGCTCTTCTGAAGGCTTAGGTTGTATGTGTGTCAGGAGAGCATGACAGTTACCCTCAGGGTGAGCCATGAGAGAAAAGGGGAGGCAGCTGTGTGGGGTGGGGGAGGAGGCAACAGACATGCGCCCACGCAGAAGCTGTGTCTTATAACCTAATCTCAGAAGTGACATCCCCTCTCGTCACTTCTGCCACGTTTCGTTCACTTGAGTGTAGGTCCAGCCCACACTCCCGGGAGGTAGTCACACCAGGACATGAGCACCAGGAAGCGAGGGTCCTGGCCTTTGCACATGTAGTTCCCGGTAACTGCAATGTCACGCCCACTCCTCAAGGCTACCATAAGTTTCAGCCCCTCAGCAGTGAAGGGAGGCTGCAGAGGGGGAGAGGATTCCATTCTTGCCCTCCAGAGTGGAAGCTCATTGCAGCTTCCATGACATCACCTCATGGTTTTGCTTTTTCTCTGACGCTTCTCTGGTCCCTGTTCCCCTGGGGCCCTTTCT